AATGACCTTTCATGGTAATAACATCAACAGTCTAATTACATATGGTATGTTTACATTTGATGCATAGAAGGATATGGCCTTCAGGAAAGAACACTGCTGCTGGAAAACTATGCATTTGCTTAAGTAAGTGGTGGAGTACAATTTATACTTACATTTTTTTCTGGATATTTCCAAGCCAACAGCTGTTCATCCTGAGATATTTCTAGTCCGTGACAGCAGGCTACAGCCGTCCCAGAGAAGTATGAGCTACCTGTGCTCTTGTTCAAGATTATCAGTCTATAAGGTCAACCCTCAAAAACATAGCTGAAGAGGAATTTTCCATCAGCATCACACTCTCCTCTTTGTAGCTAAAAGAATCACTTGCACATGACTGTAGATGTTTCCAAACTTTTAGTGGAAAAATGGTTCTTTCCTCCATAACTCTCCACACCTGTCTAGTTTGCTGATAGGGAGTTGTATCCTCTTGGATCCTCTTTTTTTTCAATAACATATAAGCGTGAAAAGCTTTCAAGCTCCCAGGCTCACTGCAAAGGCCGGAGATTTCAGAAACACGTCAAATCTTTCAAAACGAAATGTCACTTGGACTTTTTCAGACCAAAGTTAAAATAATAACAATAACAATACAACTTTCTTTTCTCCCATTTTAGAACAGCACATTACTTGACATCTCAGAATTTCCAAACAGGAATTGTGTCTTAGACTAACATTACTTAATACATGAAAGGCCCTCTGCGGCATCCTGATTTCAAGAAAAGAAATTGAATTGAGAGGGACTATTCAAAGAAGCAAGTATTTGTGAGCATAAGCAGATGTTATACACTCAGCTCCCTATGTAATTGGTTACACATTGTAACATGCAGATGAATATATGAATTTTTATTACAGATGATGTGTGCAGTGACTTCAGGCCAGTTTTTTAACTGATGAAACAAGGTCAGAAACTAAAAAGACATTTAGGCACTAAAGGTTGCAGATAAATTTGTCACAAGACTTTCAGAAGGTATCTAGCCATAAATTATTTTGTATTTACACGCTAGAAGTTTTTGAAAATTTTAATGGCTAAAATTTCTTTCAAAATCCAGCTCTTTAACATCAATCCACTGCATACAACCAGAAATCTGAGAAATTGATATAAAAGATATTCTTCCCAGAACACTAATAAACAACTGTGAATATAATTAAGAATATTTATAAAAAGGGAATTTGGTTCACACCTTGCTTGCCTCCAACTCTTTTTACACAATATATTATATAGCTGTCACTCTTTAAAGTGCTGCAGGGTATTTACTTTAATGTAAAAGTTTAATTTTCTATCAAATCTCTATCCTATACTGAAAACACAGCAGTTAGTTACACTTGAATATAGTGCAACTATTTATTATTTGTATTGATGCAAGAGAGGATGCTTCTTGCTTGGAGCATAATTGCTGCGATTCCCAGGCGTAACATCCCTCCCCAAAGGTTTTCCACCAGAACAGCAGACCAGCTAATTCCCACAAATGTTTAGGTAGCAAAACTGCCTTCAGTCAATCTTCTTCTCTTACAAGGAAAATACAGACTTTGTAATGTATCTAGAAGTTTAATGAATTCAGGGACTGAACCTGTGATCATGGGATGTGCTTAGAGTAGATGCCCTTGGCTACTGATCATTATTTGTAGTAAAAAAAGAATGATTTTGTTTATCTCTGCTGATATAAATTATCATACTGACGTGAGGAGAGAGGAAGCTTCCCTGGTAACAGTATTTCAAACTTCTTGTGGCTTGGACAGTTTAAACTAAAACTTCTATCTGGCAGCTCCTTGATAAGCAATTGAGCTCCAGAAGCATTGGTGTCGAGATGCTATAAACTCATTTGCTTGATTTGATCATTAATCTATCAACTGGGATTTGGTGTTTCTTAGATAGGAGAATATTACTGAGGTGATTAAGAAATATTAGAGCAGAATTTTAAGGCAAAGCAAAAAATTCACTCTTCAAAGCAATCTGGGTGAGGCACTGGCATGGTATTCTTTCAAAGTCTTTCTCATCTCTTTAACTATCAATACCTCTACGAAAGGCAAACAGTTCAGGCTGTTAGCCTAGATCTTGGGAGAGCTTTTCCACAGACTTTCTGTGTCACCTCAAGCAACTCAGTCTCTCAACATTTCAGATTCCCAGCTGTTAACTGGGAATTATAGTAATTTACTTCCCCATAAGAGCATTGTGAAGGTCATCCCGTACAGGCTGTGCAGTGTTCAGAAACCATGGTCACAGCTTACATAAATGCCTAAGACAGAACAACCATTAAGGCAATGTGTATAAATTGTCTCACAAAATGAAGCTTCTAGAAAGTCCGTATTGCTGTGTAAGAAAGGACTCACAGTGGTGGTACACTATACACCAAGTTCAGAGTACAAAAAGAACATAGGAAAGAAAAGCCATTCTCAAAGGTGATTTAATTCACTTAAGGTTAACTATTTTTCACTTACGACTCTTAAAAAGTTCCTAACTGTACTTTAAAACAAAGACAAAAAAAAGACCCAAGTTCAAGTTATATGACCACAGAACGTATACAGACTGAGAATAGGTCCTTTTTTACTATTGTGCTCCATAAGGCACTTCATAGGTCTATCTTTCAGATACAGGTTTTATGCAGCTGTTTAAATGAAAACCACCATAAAGAGTATCAAGGGAGGAGAGCAAAGGGTTCTTCAGGAACATCTCATCATCAACCAGCATGCAGGAGAATGGCACAGACAAAATTATCCGAGGAAGGGCTCACTTCCTCGGTCAAGTGTGTTTGGTGGTTGAAAGAGTCCTTGATCCACTCTCTCTGCTCCCCTCTCCACAAAGGAAAAGCAGTGTGCATGCTAGAAAGGGCTGTGTGATTATTTGGGTTGGTTTTGTTTGTTTGTTTGGCACCATGTAACAATAACCCAACACAAAATGTTTGCTTCCACTGAGTATTTACTGGGAGAAAAAGAGATCGTGCCTGCGTATCTATCTCATTCTGTAGTCCACAGTTTCACAGGCTTATATAGTAAAAAGATGGCTATGAGCTTCAGTCCCTGATCCAATAAATGTTTATGTACAACAGTCGGTAGCAGTGTCAAGATGAGAGATTTTGATCAACTCACATTCCTGGCTAAAAAATTCTCTTGGAATCTGATTAATGTAGGTTTAAATCCTCTTAAGCAGAAGACACAAATCTCCCAAATCCCAGCTGAATTCCTTAAACATCAGCCTGAAGGGTGAATGGTATGTCTTCCATGATGATTCTGTGAGGACTGTATAAATTTTTCCCATTTGAAACTACTCATTATTGGCTTCAGACTGGGTTTGGGGGGAAAAAAGAAAAAAATAAGAGAAAATTTCTATATATACCTAAATTAAGGTGTAGTTCCTATACTTCTTTGAGAGGAAGGACTGCAGATATTATTACAGGTGCCTCTTCAACCCACATAAAAGCGTGTGTCTGTGTGTTTGTTCCTTGTGCACGTTCTCATCTGTACTTTGGCATACCATTTTTCCCACAAGATTTTAAGATTATTTTTCAATTACAGCCTTAGCAGTAGATTGCAGTAACTGGGGAATAAAGAATTCAGGTCCTCATCCCTGCAGCTTGTATGTTTTGACATCTGCATAAGTGAATTAATTTTCAGAAGCATCGATCCTCCACGGCTCTAATTGCCTTCAGCATCTTAAAAAAATAGGTATCCACAACACATTAAAAATCTGTGGGCAAAAATATTGATTTTGCCTCACATTCAACTTCCAGACTATCAGAAAATACTAGTAAGTGTATGGCAGATAATTTAGGAATTCTGAAGGCTTTTCAATGAAAGATTTTATCTAGGAATAAAATAATGAACCTAAATACATGAATTTTCAGAAAAATTAGTAACCCCAATAGTTGTGGGGTTTTTTTGTGTGAAGTAATAAGAGTTGCATAAATATAATCAACTGGCAGGAAGACACTACACTAATGGGAGTTAAAAGCCCATGATTAGTTTAAACAACTGTTATGTATCAACTGAATAAAAATAGGAGGGTAAAGGAAAAACGAAGATTTTCCATCTGCTAAATGGAATAATGATATTTACAATTGGCTGCTATGCTGTGAAGTAGTGATCAATAAATTGAATTTAAATATTAGAAGAACGTGTGCTACCAGAGGGTAATAGTTCATAATAACAAGCATTGCAAATTTTTATACCCCTCATATAAAACAACAGTCAATACACTTTTAAGTCAAATCACTGTGGTATGGCTGAAAAATAACAGGTTGCATCTACTTACCTGTGTCTCTGCTTTTGCCTTCTGGTGGTAAAACCAGATGACAGCATTCAAGAATCACTTTAGGTCTAACAGACTTGAACAGAACCTTTTCATTCAATGCCAAGTCTTAAGTTTAGACTTGCCAAAAGTAGTTTGTTAGTCTTCCCAGACTTTGAAAAGTGGAGATTAACTATATAGTATCTCCCCCTCTACTGCCCTCAGGTAGTATCTCTTGTTTTGTTTCAAATCAAGCTAATGAAGTACATGTGACTGAGGTAGAGCTCTCCCATTCTTCACAACATACAGTATGTTCTAAGTCCTCTCATATACAACATGGAACTTTTGCCTATCAGCTCCTAATTTCACTGAACCAGCACATGGTCCTGGAGGAACTAAACACCAACCTTATTTTGAACCCTATTAACTTGCTTTGCCACTTCACTTGCTGTGTCTGCCCCAAAGCATTTGGCATGTACTAACACCATACTATAACTTCTACTCATTAGCTATGCTATCTAAACAGCATTAGCAAAATGGCTGGAAAATGCAAAGTCATAAAAACACTGAATCCGTGAATATTTTATTTCTATCAAGTAACTTCGGTTATTCAAGCAATTTTTCATTAAAAACTGAAAACCTTAATAAAAAGTTAATATAATTCATCTTTTCTGATTTGTTTCCTCTATTTTATTTTCCATGCTTCAGATGTACAATACTTGTATACATAAGCAAACATACATACCAAAATCCACAAGCTTTACTCCTCCTTCAGTGGTCAAAAGGATATTATTTCCCTTAATATCACGGTGGATAGTTTTGTTTTCATGCAAATGCTGAAGTCCCTGGAAGGTGAGATGTAAACATGAAATTTTTGCTAACAGCTCTGTTCTCTGCATTACCTTTGCAGAAACAAAAATGTACCAGAAAAGTATGAGAGAACTTTAAACAGATTTTTTTTTAATCCAAAACCACAGAGATGACAATCTTATTGGAAAAACACTTGTCACATCATGAGGAACACATACGTTTAATTGCCCCACTTTATGTCAAATAGAAATTTTAAGAGAAGACCAGAAAAAAGGACTATAAATCTATGTTATATAGTATACCTTTAGAGTATAAAAAAAAGAGGAAAAAGAAAACTGCTAAAGCCCATCACTGATTCCATTGCAGAGAGTCAAATTCCAGTTAAAAGACAATGAAAAAGAAAGGCACTTGATCCTGATTAGTCAAAATTTTTTCTTGTGGCAGTGTTTCAGTTCACTAGATCTGTTGATCATTTTGCTATAAAAATATCTTGGATATCTGGATAAGAAGTTGAACAGTATTTGGGGAATATTTCTGCCATTTCTCAAAAGAAAAGCAATTTGATGCAGAACTGTATTTACTGATGAAATAAATCCATGGTCAGAAGTCGATTTCTGTTCTTCTAATAATGAAACAAACAGCTGAATTGTTTTTTACCTTGCTCGTTCAAAAAGAACCAGCTGAATTACACATTACTTTGATTTTATTAAACACTGCTATAATCTAAGATAGTGTGCTGTGTTAGTGGGGATATGATCTTCATTCATTCAAAGAAAAAAATATGAGCTGAATACTGTCTGTCCTTTCACTGACAGCTTATCTTACCATCAGAGCTTCACGTAAAATATAAGCAATTATAAGTTCATTCATCCTTTCGCCTCTCTTCAGAAATCCTTTCACAAGATCAGTTACAGATCCACCATTGCACAGCTGCAAAACATCAGGGGAATATAAAAAGAAATTAAGAAGTGTTGGAGTAGCCACCTGGTTTTACTTTTCAGTAGTTTTTGTATTTGTAGCCAAATAAGCTCCTATTAAACTGGCAAACCACAAATTTGTCCTTAGGTCTACCACTTATACAAACAACGTACACGGCAACTTTTGCCAATTTTTTTTTCACTACTTTCTGCATTTAATTCTTCTTGCCCAAACACAAGTACACCAGTCTATCGCTTCGTTTTCCTATACACGATTGCTTTTCACTGAAACAGAAGTAGCTTATAGTGCAATAAATTTGCTGTGAAGGCATGTTCTGTGGGGCACCCTAATTGCTTCTTATATTCATCGTGTGCAACTCACCAGCAATGCAGATTATTACAGCATCAATTCTCAGGTACAAAAGCTACATACAACATAAAATGGATTTAAGGTGTCAGAAGACAGGTGGCAGAGCAGTTCCTCCAACAAGAAAATCTTCCAAGGGGAAAGCTGCCCTCTTTGCCAAGCAGCACTGAATTCCTCTGTAGAAGGGTGTTACACACAAGGGATGGGCGTCATGGGAGATGATGAAAGCACCATGGAAAGAAAGGTCTCATCTCCCCCTGAAACAAGGTGGGCCATGGGTGTAAGACTAATTATAGCCCTTGCAGCATCAACCCTGTGAGCTTCTTGTTCAAGATAAAGAGCCACAATCTACTCTGGACAATCCTTTCTCCCGTCTAAGGTCCAGTTAGACTCCTGCAAACCCCTGTCCTGTCCCATACACACCAGCAGCAGAGGTTTGGCCTTGCTCTCTAAAAAGATTAGTAAGCACACACTAGCAGATTAGTTTAGACCTGCACTATTTCATATGTTCATTTTCATCACTTACACGTTTTCCGCAGGAAGAAGCAAGAAGGTAACTGCAGTGGCTACGTCTGCAGCAGTTACATACCCACAAAGATGAAATCGGTACTTAAGCCTCTAAACTATCCATAATGCCCCTAACAATACTCATTGATTGAAGAGCCATTGCCTTTGTAAAGGAATAGCTGCTTCCAATAAAACAGTGAAACAAATTGTAAGTTTTGTACTGTATCATCCAGTAGCTTTTCATACAAAAATAAATACCCGCATAAGACATTTTACCAATGTAGCACAAAACAGTCATTCCTTATGACTATAGATTTTGAACTCTATTCAAATCGAGGGCATAGTTTATCAATAAAATCTATCAACTGCAGAACTCCAGACATCTGATACTTTTGTAAATAATTTTTTTAATCTGTTCTTGTATACATCTACATTTTTTTCTGTGCTGAAATTACAAAAAGACTTGCACCTTACAGTATAAAACATTTTATAGCTCTTTGTACCCAAACATTACAATGATTTTCTGACTGCCTTTGGAACCCCTGGGTTGCACTGAACTTGCATGACATGAACGCCTACACAAATACCATTCGATACGTAAGTCTTGTTGCAAGATGTGTCCCCCATCAGGTCAATGAAGGCTCTGGTCTGATGGATGCTGAGCTCTATGGCACCAATCTTGGAAGTCACTTAATCTCACCCTTACTTCAGCGGGACAATATGCATGCTTAGAGAGGCAAGAACTCACATGCTTAAATGATGAGATTAAGCACTTTGCTGGATCAGGGTCAGATTCCCAAGCAGGATTTAATTTACTGTCTTTAGCCATGCTGGTCTGTCTTCTCCATTGACTTTTTCTAGTTACTGGGGTTTTTTACAGTAACATTATCCTTCCATGGTCTCTATTGTTTTAACTTTGCCACATCACTGACATGTTTAGTCAAACCAAATGGATGATGACAATTCCAGTTAATTTAATGCATTTGCATTTCAGGGCAGTGAAACTGTCTGACAAGCGACAAACCAATTGTGAAATAAATTACACATATGATATTCTTTAAACTATTTTTCTTCATTATCTAGTATTAAAATTTTGCTTTTTATAGACAGATCTTCTTCTGTTTTTGTTACAGAGCTGGATATCTGTTAGTCATTCTGTTCACAGAAAACTAACTCAGAAAGGAACACGTTCATTTTGAAGGTGGGACAAGGAAGAAACTATACCTCAGAAATCACCCTCTTCAATATTTAGACAGTAAAGCCAAGACTGAATTTATTTGCCTGGTTCAGCAATGTTAATTTTAACTAATTTTTCTACCCTTCTTACAAGACATAAATCTCTATTATGAGATAACTATCTGTATTATAAGCTAACACTTATCTAAAATATCAGGTAAAGTAAGATACCAGAACTATGATTATTTTAGACCAAACCAAAACTGAATCTGGGTATGTAAAATATCAGCTGAGCAGGTCTTGAAGAAGAAAACAGAAATCACCCACACAACGACAGAAATCCTCCACCGACTCCCCAAGGCAGGACAGCTGCTTAGGCAGAGTTCAGCTGGGGATCTCATAGACACAGGTTCTTGCATGCACAGGGCAACTTTTCTTTTGTCACTTCTGTCTCAAAGAGTTGTACTTTTACTCACATCAGACAATTTGTAGGTTTCTGATCAGTAGAATAGGAGGAAGGGGGGAGAAAAGCTAGGTATTGGAATGCAAGCAGCTATAAGGGGAAGAAGGGATTATTAGAACACAAACTACAATTACAAAAGCAGATTATGGCAGACACTGTATGTGTGTGCTCTGAGCTGCGTGGGGAGGGGAGGGGGGCAATGATGACGACAATGATGACACAGGTTAGTATTAACCTTGTTCTATTTTTCTACAGGCCAAACAAGTCCTCATGGGTACGATGTTGCATCCAGTCTCATTTCCAATTCCTACTGTCTGTTTTTTGCAGGTGAAGCTGCCTCATGTGCCTATAACCATGCACCTAACTGAAGTTCAAATGGTGATGCTTTCTTCTGACACAGGCTATCAAACTGCATGCATGTTCAATGCAAGCTTATCATAAACACATCAAAACATCCCTCTCATAACAAGTTAGACTCTTCCTTCTCAGAAGCAGCAGCTACGGAAAACTATGATACTCCTGCCCTATGCAGTGCTGGACCATGCTAGCTTGGGAATCTGAGTAGACAGGGAAATAAATTATCCTTGGGGATGTTGACCAGGATCTAGTCCATGACATAAAAATTTAAAGAAGAGGAAAAAAACCCCTAAATCATTTTAAAAAAAAATCACATTTCCTGAACTCATACAGTCCTTCAATAAGAGATTATGGGATAAACGTTATTTAGCAGTACTGCCAGACTGGAAGTTTCCTGGGCTGTTGTTAAATATTGCAGTTTATAACTATGATCTCTGCTGTTTCTTGGTAGCATGCCGTCCACAGTAAAACCTGTGTAGACTCTTACCAAAGTTACTGTGTTTGAGTTAAGCTAACTCTAATGCTTGGATGAGAAGAAATCATGAAGGCAACAGAGATCATTTTTTAAAAAGATCTGTCTAGTTTCCAGCGAAGCATCTAGAGAAGAGAGGTGCTGGTAGCTATTATTTTGCTGCAAGCATTTTGAAATCACACGGCCAAACTGTTAATTAGTCTGTGTTGTGTCTCCACATCATTCAGTAAAATCTCCTCAGAATACCTTGGTGAAGGGCACTATAAGCAGAAAATAAGAAACGCATGGAGAACTCGGGACACAGACATACAGTAGAAGCTACATGGCCATCTGAGCTATGCCACAGGGCTGCTTCCTACCCTAAAGGTCAGAGAAGCTCATCAAACGCAAATGTCCTTCAACCTGTCGTGAGACATGGGCTTTTCTGGGAGGAGAGAGTAGTAGATCCATTTCTCTCTCCCACACTCTCAAAAACACACACACGCACATATTCTCTCTTGCACACACAGACACATTTCTTGCGGTTCAAATCGGTTTTATAATACCTATTTTAAGCAACCAGTAATCCCAGGAGGAAAACTGGGTATGGGAGAAGTGGTGGTGGCATCTGTTAGCTCATGTTTAGCAGCACTAGTTTAAAAGATGTAAACTGAATGGACTATCTCAGTCTGGTTCTCAGATACCACATACTCTGGTATGTGAAATGCATGCAAAAACAAAGCCTTTCACTCTGAACTGTTTTTAGGAAGTCTCCAAAGGCTGCATTTTCCCAAGGAAGAATAGAAATTCTCTTTTAAGTTTTGAATAAACTTAATTTAAAGAGAGAGGCTCTCATAAACATCCAGCTTGTGAGATACAGTAAGAGAAGATATTAATGATCCTCCCACAAGGATGTTATTTAGAAATGTCATCTTGATAACTTTGTACATGAGCAATTTTCATCAATTTAATGTTAGTCACTTCTATTGTTCCCTTGTGATTTACAGGTATTTTCTTTACCAGCAGTATTTTCAGTGCCTGCACTGATAGAATGCAAATACTACTTGCAAACACAAGCAACAACAAGGGAGGTAAACTGAACCCTTCGGACTATCTAAAAGGGGGTGGAGAAGACAGAGACAGATGCTTCCCACAAGCACACAGCAAAGGATGAGAGGCAACAATCCCCACCTGCAAGATAGTAGATTCCTACTGGACATAAAGGAAAAATTTTCCTACTAAGAGTAGTTAAGCACTGGAACAGATTACCCAGCAAGTCTGTGTTATCTCCATCCTTGGAGATGGTCAAAACTTGAATGGAAAAGACCTTGTGCAAACCTGTAACACTGAAGTTAATTGTCTTTGAGCAGGGGGCTGGACCCAATAAGCTCCAAAGGTCCCTTCCAAGCTCTAATTTTCTATGAGTCATAATATTTGGAAAATATTCAGTCCCTAGTTTGGATATTTAGACAGCAGAAAGGGGAAAGGACTAAGGAAATATTTCATACTCAGACCAAGGGGAAGAATAATTTGATAGAAGGCTTGTTCCATGTGAAAACCTGCCTGAAAAGGCTGTAGCTCTGATAGCCATACATAGCTGTATCAGAAGAGGTGCTTATGACTCCTCTACAGTGGCAACGAAGGGCTCCTCCCTTATGATTTTCTGGCACTCAGAAGGCAAAGACTCATACT